TATATATATATATATATATATATATATATATATATATATATATATATATATATATATATATATATATATATATATATATATATATATTGTGTGAATGAGGAAGCTGTGGTGGACTTCTCCTTTCGAAAAATTAACCGTCACTCTCGAGGCTCTTCACCACCTGTCCACGACGATGATTATTAGTTTTAAATAAATTATTAAATCATAAAAACATGGTACTGCACACTCTAAATAAATAAACTGGTTATTTTATTTATTTCACAAAATAATTTGTTAAAAATGTTGAATTTTAAGTATATATAAAATATAAGTTCTATGCTAATGTGCAAACCTGATTGAAAAAAATCCCACCATACTGTACACTGATAAAGTTTTTGACCACAGCATTCATTTTATTAGGTTTTGACTCAAAAAGCTTTGTATATCTGTGTTATAGCTTATAATTATTTTATAATCTTTACTACATAATTATGTTATGAATCAAGAACTATAGAACCATTTTAATCAAAAAGGTTCTTTGCAGTCAAAGGGTTCTAAATGGAACCATTTTTTGGGTAAAAGGTTCTACTGGCCAAGTATAGAACCCAAAGGTTATATACAGTATAGAACCTCTAGGAACCTTTTTTTTTTAGAGTATAATGTGTGTAAAAAGTGTTATTTTGGGGGCATGTACACAGGTCGCTGTTTTAGGGGTGTGTTCCTTTACATTAAAATTAGTTTTAAATACCCACCCAACATAACAAGGGGGCGGAGCCAAGAGCTTCCCCCCCTCTGTGTTTGGCAACAGACAGGCAGACAGAGAGAAGCAACATGAGTGAGAGGATCAGCATTCAGCTGTACATGTACGACTCGGACACAGACCAAGCAGAGAGTACACAATCATTTGAGTCTTTGTATAGTTTTACAGCCAACTGTGTGCTAGTTTAAAGTTCCGAACTTGTACACCGAGACTAATAAACACGCATACTGAATTAACTTTGACTGAGGCACCGGATGACCCACTTCGAGCCGCAACACGGCACACTAGACACACACATTCGCATGTTATTTAAAATAAAACTATTCAGATGGAGCCCTGTGGTGCGGCAGAAATATGAAGTGTCCCGAATCGTGTCTGGGCGCCGCTGACAGCCGCCGACTGGAAGCGCGTTGCGTGTACCCTTATAGAAACCCATGTTTAGAATTCTGAAATGCATGGCGCGTCGCAGAGTGACGCTTCTGGTGTGCGAACTGCAGGCAAGTTCGTTATTTTATTTGCTATGGAGAGACACTCACGTGAGGCAAAGGTGCTCGCACTTTCCAGCTGCACCTAATTAAGATCACAGGGAGCTTCTGTGACCGCGAGAAATGCAAACGGCTGAAGTTTAAGGTAGACGCAATGAAAAGTACACGTTTGCAAAGCTACCTACAAACAAACTAAATTATAAACAATAATTTAGATTACAGCGATCATGTGGTGAATGTTGATCTTATGTTGAGCCCAATGAGCCTTACATCTAAAAATAGAGCAAGGGTGTTCCTTTAGTGACATCGCTTTGACTCACACGTTGAAAATGGCGGACGTGAAACAACAAACTGACGATATGGTGACGCGTGCCTGTCAATCAATATTGGTGGG